ACACACACACACACACACACACACACACACACACACACGCACGTGTGAGTGACCCAATGAAGTTCATCATATCTCTGCTCTGTCCTTTGCCACTCCACTCCCTCCCCTCCCCCTCACTCCTTATAGAACCCCTTCCCTTCCTCTCTCCCCTTGTGTACGACTAGTAAATGTTTACGAATGAGCATCATAAGAGAACATACAAAATATAAGCTGAATATCTGAAGGAAAATGAACAGGAGTATACCTGCCCCTTTACTTGCCTTCTTTCATGACATGCAAGTATATGCCGTTAAGGCACGCGGGGGTGTAGGCAGCTGGCGCTCAACCACAATCGTCGTGGCCAGCCTTGTACGTGAGAGGCATAGTAAAAGGGGAGCTGAAGAACAAATGAAAGAGGTACCCCAAAGAAAGCCAAACTTTCTGCCAAAGTAAAAACAGTCGACGAAGGGATTTCAACGGATTTGTTGCGCTCCATGTTACTTACTTGCTCTAGAGGTAAAAAATTAAAAATGTTTCGATGTTGGAATGTCTCATCTCAAGTGTCCTTTGTTGTCTGCAATGGAAATAAAGCTACTTTGATTCTGGTTCTATTCATCTGGGTGGGTTAGGGGCTGTTGTGATAAAAATCCAAAACACACACATTGTGATGAAAATCCAAAACACACACGCACACCATACTACTATAGTTAGTATAGTCTATCTGTTGCGTGGTTGCCTATTAATCTGTGTCTTGACGCGGAGCACCTTCAAGTTGTGCCAAATAGTCAATGCCCGTTTGTTTGACGTGCCTGCAACACTATTAGGGGCTGTTGGTGTCTGGATTCCTGAGTCTTTGTTTTCAACAGTGACGGGTATCCGTCTAGTGGCTTCCTGGCTCCGGAAGGTGGAGTGAACCTACAGTCTGATGGGTTTTCCATATGATGTGAGTAGGTGATAGTTTGCTTTGCTCCTTGTGGTTGCTATGGGTCTGTGTGTTGCTTTGTGCCTTGCTATGTTGGTGTCCCACGCAGCCACCCGCTTGCCTTACTATGTGCTGGCTGCTATTAATGTTCAGTGCCTAGTTGTGTTGTGGTGTGCTCACAGCCTCAACCAGACACACACAGAGAACAGTCAGGCACAGAGTCCACAGTCTCAACTAGACACACACAGAGAGGAATCGACCAGGATCAGCTCTACCCAGTCGCCAGCAACAGGATGCGCTGTACTCGAACTCAGGTTTCAGAGGTCCCCCAAGGCACCCTGCCGGGAAGCGTCATCGCACCCTGCCGCCTGCCACCGAAGGGGACTGTCGTACACCTGCTAGGCGAACGACGAACCCTGGCATCCCCTCCCCTAACTCTCCCCACTGAGCCCACCCCTTCCCTCGCCCCATCCCCCCATGACCCCGCACAACCCAAGAGGGGCTGCAAGAAATGCTCTCTGACAACCCACATGAAGCAGAAAATGGCGTCAACGTCCCATGCGTCGATACCTTGCATCTTCCTTCTCCCTCCTGCACCGATGGACAACATAATGGAATGTTCCAATAAGCAACATAGTATCGCAGTACACAAAGCCAAAACATGCCAAAAAATTGAAAGCATTAATTATGCAACTGGTAAAAGACATGATGATATCTGTCGCAAGGTAGCATAAAGCGAGTAGCGAGAAAGTAGTGTAACAATCCTTAGCTCAGTGGATAGAACACCGGTGTTGAATGCGCATTGTGGTATAAGGGCGCAGGTCCGAATCTTTGGACGCTTGCTCATTCGGCCTGCGGGCGTCGACTGACGCAGGCTAGTGGTACACCGGGCAACGCAAGCAGTCCGATGGCCGCGCGCAGAGGTTTCAAGATACAGCTCCGAACTGTGGGATCCAGCCATCGTGGCTGCCGAACCGGAGGCGCCACGTTATATATAATCACAAAGAACTCCCCAGTGAACCATAGGCAGAAAGGAGGAAAAGGACATGGCATGATTCTACTTTCGGTATATTTTATGACCCTTCCTCTCTTTAGGAGAGCATCAGTGACCCCTGCTAAGGACTTCACCAACCAGCCACTCCCCTCAGTGAGCTCACCATTGACCCCACAAACTCTCTTCTCTCTCTGCAGTCTTCCCTATGCTCCTTTAAGCCCAGAAACTTACCCCCCTCCCAGCCCCTTCCCCTTCCCGCTATCTCCCCTTCAAGCAATGGTGAAGTAAGCACCGAAAGACTGGCGAATTCTGAGCGACTGTGGCATCACTCAGAATTCGCCACAGTCATCCCCCCCAGGAGTTGAGACCCCTTGCTTTCCTCCGAGAGATGAGGCCATTTTAGGGGGAGAGCAGCACTTCGTGAAGCCCCTATCCATCATTGGAGAGGTGAGCACCGAACTAGCCACCTGACATTCGCAACATCTCTCAGTTTCCGCCGCATCCTTTCCCGCGAACGTATTTTCCTCCAGGAGAGGGTGCAGTTTCCGGGAAGGAGACTGTAGAGCAACACTTGGTGAACCCCATACTTTGACGAAGAAATCTTTGCTGACAAAACACCGCACACACATCCTGAAACAAAGCCAGTGATGCTAACAGCCCTCCTTACTCCAGCTTCAACACACCAAAACGCCGGCATAGCTACTTTCCTCCGGCCAACCAAGCAACAAATATATTATAACTCCACATGCTGCCCCAGCCCCATCCGAAACGGGTGGATGCCTATGCTGACAAAAACCAGGCTCGGGGGGCTGGGTTCAAAAGCTGGCCCCAGTGGTGCGCAAAGCAGTGAAGCTGCCACCGCGGGTGTACTGGCCGCTGAACAGCTGCTTGCCTTGTTATATGCTGCCTTGTGGATACCGTGCTGCATGGCTTGCAGTGTTGCTGTGAGCCCGCCCCACACCCACCTGCTCGCCCGCTTGCCTTGCTATAAGTTGCCTTGTACAAGCTGTGCTGTGTGTCTTTGCTGTGTGTTTCCTCTCACAACCGTGTTATACCCACGTTATGACTTGAAGCCGCATCTGTACGTCTTGTCTGCTTCCGTTCATTCTGTCTGCATTTGTCTATGTGATGTATCTTCATGTATTGCCTGCTTTTATTCATTGTAT